AATGGTACTTCCACAGCCTATCTCTCAGAGCTGTTGGGAAGACCATAAAATCATAGAATAACAGAAATTTAGAGATGAAAGGGATATTAGTGATTATTTACTCCAATCCATGCCACCACCCCCCAAAAAAAAACCCTACTATAACATACTTGACAAGTGGCTTTCCAGTCTTCATCTGAAGATCTGAAATGAGGAGGAATCTGGTACATCCTGACTCAGCCCTTTTAACTTATTAATCACTCTTCTTTTTAAAAAGTTTTTCCATAGTATCAACCGCAAATGAGTCTCTTTGCAATTTCTACTCAGTGACAAAATAATCCCTCTTCTACTTAACAGACCTCCAAATGCTTAAAAACAGCTGTCCTGTCAAGTGTGAGTCTTCTCTGCAATTTCTTCAACTCATCCTTCCATGGCCTGGACTCAACTTCTTTTTTCACCTTTTGTTATCCTCCTCTGAACACTCACCACCTAATCAATGTCCTTCTCGAACTGATCACATGACAGATTCCAATGCTCTAAATGTCGTCTCAGAGTTCAGCAGAATTATAACTTCATTAATCCTGGAGGGCATAGTCGATGAATCGCTTGGCCTTGAGTCAAGGAGAAATGAATTCAAATCTAGCCTCAGACACTTACTAGCTGTGGGTACCTGGGCAAGTCACTTGACAATCTCTGCCTCAGTTCCCTTACCAAAAAAAAAATGGGGATAATAAATACACCTATTTCCCAAGATTGTTGTAAGGATTCAATGAGATAATATTTGTAAAGTATTTAGCACAGTACCTAACACATAGTAGGCATTTGACAAATGTTTCTTGCCTTCCTTCTCAATACAGGCTAAGATGTCATTAACTTTCTGGGTTTCAATATCAAATGGATGACTCATATTGAACTTGGAGCCCACTAAACCTCCCCAGATCTTTTTTTCAGATTAGCTACTATCTAATCATACCTCACCTAATTTCTACTTGTGAAATAAATTTATTGAAACCAAGTGTAAGACTTTACATTTAACCCTATTAAGTTTCATTTTTACTAGACTCAGCTCATTTTTCTAGCCTAACAAGATCTTTTTGGATCCCGATTGCCAGTTGGTATGTTGGCTCTCCTTCACAGCTTTGTGTTTTATTCAAATTTGAATTTTTTTAAATGCCAATTATGCTTTTAATTCAAAGAGACAGGATCTTCAAAGTGCTTTGTAGACCTTAAAGGACCATAGAAATGTGAGTTATTATTATTGGAACAGCAAAAGCTATTTTCAGAACCTATCACTCTTTGATGTCCTTTATCTCAGATTCCTATTCTCAAAACACTTGCTCAAAAAGGGCCTCTTTGATTCTCTTCACCCCAGGCCTGGCTAACTCTGCTGTTTCCCAGAATCCCACGGAGATTTTCCCTGAGATGAAGGTTATTACAATGGAAATGTACAGACTAAAGAAGACTGTTTTGTGTGTTGGGGGCCTTAACTTGAATTTAAGAAAAAACTGGAGGGCAATGCCACATGGAGAATGTAAACAAAAATGAAAATGAAAACCCTAACAAACAACCCAGTCAAAAACCCATCCAAGATTCAAGTAATAAAAAAGTCTCTTAATAATCCCTAAAGCTCCTTCTATAGTATGGTGTTAATTTTATGTCATTACATCAATTTCCATGAAGCTAATGCTCTTGTATTTCCTGTAGTAAACTGTCATTACAGTTTCCATCAGGAAGAAAAAAAAACACTTTATAAAAATGAAGCTGTTTCATTCTAAAGATGATTATAAAACTACTGGGCCCAACTTGAGGAAGTGACTCAATTAAGATTAAGGTTGGCCCCTTAAATGATCAATCAGTTCACTATAGCAAGTTACATAATATCTTTCATTGATTACTTAGAAATACATCGCTTCTTTGCCTATGGAAAGTGGGTTTTGAGAACCAAACAGTACTAGAATGCCAATATTTTAAAAAATGCATTTGCCAATTTTTTCATCATAGCCATGCCAAAGTCAAGTATTGAACTGTCACTGTTAACTGAATATGATGATGCTGAACACTGAAGGCAAAGAAGTTTTCATGATCAAGATTCAGGTTTTGCCCTGATCCTGCTCCACCAATGAAGTATAACACTTCTTCTTAGAATGCAAAATTTAAAATTGGGCACCAGGCATTCACTTCATCTGTATCTAAGAATGCAGATCAAATGGAGAAGAATTTGTTGAACTTGAATCAGAAAATAAAGTCAAATTGGCACTAAAAAAAAAAGACAGAAAAATTATGGAACACAGATATGTTGAAGTATTTAAGTAAAAAAAAATTGAAATGTACTAGGTGATGAAGAATATTGGTCTAGTCTTGGCACTGCCAATGATGGCTTTGTGCACCTTAGGGGACCCCCATTTGACTGTAGCAAGGAAGAAATTGTTCAGTTTTTTTCAGGATTGGAAATTAAGCCAAATGGGATAACTCTGACAGAGAACTTTCAGTGGTACAGGGTACAGTGGTTACAGAGTACAGGGTAGGTCTTCATGCATTTTGCCTCACAGGAGATAGCTGAAAAGGTCTAAAGAAAACCAAGGAAAAATAGAACACAGGTACATCGAAATAAATCTTCAAGAGCAGTTGGGCAGGAGTTCATACTCACGACTAGCCTCAAAAGCTAACAGCTATGCAGCAGCCAGGTCCTTATAACAGGCCTGGGACTGGAAGTGGCTGTAACAGTATTGGTAGAAGAGCTGGGTTAGAAAGAAGAAGGCATGATGCCTTTGGTGGAGAGTATGGAGGGTATGATGACTACAATGGACACCATGATGGACATGGCTTTTGGTTACATAGATTTGGAAGAAAACTCAACAACTGTTTTTTTAGCAATGTCTGATCATAGCTATGGAGGTAGTGGGTCCACTTTCCAGAGTACAATAGGCCATTGCATACACATAGAAGAAATACCTTACAGAGCTCTGAAAATGATATTTACAATTTTTTCTTATCACTCAACTCTATTTGAGTGCACAATAAAATTGAACCTGATGGCAAGGTGCCTGGAGAAGCAGATATTGAATTTGCTACTCATGAAGATACCGTGGCAGCCATGTCAAAAGACAAAGCAAATATGGAGCATAGAGGTGTAGAACTCTTCCTGAATTAGATTTACATCAAGAGCAAGCAGTGGTGCTTACAGGGAGCCAAATGCTAGAAGGCATGAGTTTGTCAAATCAATCCAGTTACAGTCTTCCAGCTAGCCAGCAGTTCAGTGGGGATCATTAAGGAGACTAGAGTGGTCAAAGCAGCATGAGCAGACATGACTAAGTTTTACAGGAAAACGCCAATGATTTCCAATCAAACATTGCACACGGAGCCAGAGTGATGAACAGCAGCTACTACAGTAGCAGATGCAGTACATCTATGGGAATAAATGGGATGAAGGGATGTCTGGCATGTCCAGTATGAGTGACGAATGGGGAATGTAATCTTAATCACTGACTCTTGGTCAACCATTTCTTTTACAGAATTTTTTAAAAAGCTTACTAGTTTTGTAATACAAGCTTATGATTTATGCTTACTGTAAATGAGATCAGGATTATCTTAAAAACTTCAGGTTCAGTATTTTTGAACACAGAAAAAAAAACATTCATCTAGGATATAATAACCAAGTTGAGTAAAGACTCTTAACTCAAAACAATTTCAGTTTTTCTCAAGGTAGTTTTGTTGCAGGAGTGTACTTAAGCAGTAAACATGGTTAGGTTAAAGCAGTTTCAATTATGTTAAATGTTGCTTTTATACCATATTACGTGGAACACTGTTTGAGATGCATGTTGGGAGACATGATTTTTTGTAAAACAAATATAGGAGCTATGTCTGCGATCCGAAAGTGAAATATTTGGCATATTTGTTCTAGTTTATTTCATTTACTATACTGTAAAGCACTTCTAGTTAAGCTTCTTTTTTTAAGTTAATGGGGACAATTTTGAGGCGCAATATGGATACTTTAGGATTTTGGTTTTTGTGTTTGTATTAAATTCTGAGGAACTGATTTAAAGCTTTTGTTGTATTGTAATCTCCTTTTAGGTGTGTTGTGCTAAATGAAACTTGTTAAATAAATCTTCCTTTCAAAAACTGGGGGGTGGGGAAGGGTAGGGAAAAATTTGCCAAAGTTGATTTATTAAGGAGCTGTAAACTAGGATATAAACAATCTAGCCTGCTAAAGAACAGCTATAAGTCCAATATAATTTAGCTTCATCTCCCAGACATTGGCCTAGAACATAGGAGAAAAAAAGGATTTGAATCATCTGCATTTTTGTATGATTCTTTATTCTGTCCTTCGTTAATTCTTTTAATAATGCCTTGTTTCTTCTGGTGCAAGCACTCTCAAAACTGATAGAGAAGGCAACCCCTCTATGCTTTAGTGAACTTTGTGAGCTGCTTCTACAAGTAGTTCAGTTGTTTCTCAGCCATGTCCGATTCTTCATGACCCCATTTGGGGTTTTATTGGCAAAGATACTGGACTGGATTGCCATTTCTTTCTCCAGCTCATTTTACAGATAAAGCGAGTGAGACAAACAGGTGTTAAGTGACTTGACCAGGGTCACACAGCTAGTAAGTATCTGAGGCCACACTTGAATTTAGGAAGATGAGTTTTCCTGATTCCAAGTCCAGGGCTCTGTGCACTATGGCGCCACCTAGCTACTTTTACTCATAGGAATTAAATAACTGGAGGAATATATGTTGTTAAACCTACTGAACATATGGTGTTGGCCTGACTCTGGGCCACATTTTTTTTCCTGAATGTGCTCTGTATAAGACCTGAGTCTATCCTATAATGACAACATCTTTGTTTCTCAGTTTCCTCAGGCCTAAAAAGGTAATTATAATTTTTGTACAACTTGCAAAGATGGTTATTGTGAGTAAAAAACTTTGTAAACTTTAAAGCCATAAATGTACAAAAGTAGGTGATTATTAGTATTATCATCATCAATGTTATTTTTCAATATAGATCTTTTTTTTTCCTTTTTTCAAAGAAATCCCATCTTGGTGATACGGCTTACATTTGGAACCATACAGTAATGAGTTGCTGAATAATGTTCAAATCATCATAATCCACAGCCAACAACCAGGTAAGTAATTAATTGGCTTCTTCAGAGGTTAATGTGAGAGACTATAAACCATAGTCTAGCTCAAGTTCAAAATTCACCTGGACAGGTTGGATGTGCATAAGCTCGTAAGTTTTCTTTTTAATTCATTTTATTTTTAATTTATGAAATAAACCAAGCATTTCTACAACATAGAATTTTTTTAAAAAGATGATTGTACATGAAACTGCAAATCTATTATGTACAACTAGCTGTTCCTTTTAAATATATAATAATCTGTAAATTTCTTTTTTTCTTCCCCCCCCCCCACAAAGATGGTTATCATTAGACTACGGATGCAGAAAGCACCTTCCTTCACACATCCTTTGTAGTTAATTTGTGTATTTATAACAATCAAAATGACTTAGTTGCTCAAAGCTGTTCTTAAAACAATATTGATATTACTACATAGAACATTCTTTTGTTTCTGCTCATTTCACTCATATGATTTACAGCAACAAATAATCATAGGGTTTTGAGATGGAAAACATCTCTAAGATCAACAAGTCCAGTGGCTCTAGGCCTTCTCAAATAAGAGGACACTATATTAACATAAAAAGAAATTCTGAAGTCTACTATAGGGTGGTGGTTATATCACTAGTTAGCTGTAGATTCAGAAAATACTATGAATTCATTAGCACTTTTAAATTAATTGTGTTTTGTTATTCAAAACAGTATCTAGATATATATAAGAAATCATAGTATATACACGCCTACATGCAAGACATACTGTTTATTCAATTTCCAGAAGGTACATTTGTTTATTTACTATAATGAGTCACACTGCATATTTTGTCAGAGATAAACAGAAATTAAATTAATGCCAGGTTTTCATATCAATTCAAGGACCTCTGATAATAACTCCCGGATCAGAAGCCACTGCTTAAAAATTACTAGTTCGAGTTTTCTCCTGTTTAACATCTGCTAAAGTGACAAGCGTAACAGTGGAGAAATATCCCAATGGCAGACTGCTAGAAGGCAAAGTATTCAATCGAAAAACATTATTAATTGTTCTAATAATTCTAGTGGGGCACAGTTCAGAGGAAAGTATGGGAGAATGAGGATCAAAGGACCTGGGTTCAAATCTCAGCTCTGTGACCTCAGGCAAAAGTTTCTTAATTCGTGAAATGAGGAGTTGGGTGGCCTCTGAGCTCCCTTGAGCTCTGTTTCTTTGATCTGATGACTAGATGCCTAGGAGGTTCCTTCTAGGATCCTCTACACAATGGATAAATAAGGATGGAATACACATGGCAAATGTGAAGGTAACTAGAATCTTAAAGATGTCATGTTACTATTTCTTAGAGTCAGTCGGTCAATAACAAGGATTTATAAGCACTATGCTTATAATTTGGGATACAAAGAAAGGAAAAAAACGAGCCCTTCCCTCAAGTATCACACAGTCTAATGGGCAGGATAGCAACAACATGTAACTATCTAAGCATATAGGACATATAAGAAAATAATTGAAGAGAAGGCGTTATGATAATCATGTAATCTCTAAGTCATTGCTTCTCTAGGATATATTGTTTCCATTCTTTTAACCAGTTTTAATTATCTCAGGCCCTCTTAGTCACCTTCTAGACATGTTTCAGTTAGCCATTATCCATCTTTTTTTTTCCCCAATAATTTGTTTTTTGAGTCAATTGGGGTTAAGTGACTTGCCCAAGGTCTCACACACCTAGTAAGTGTCTTAGTCCAGATTTGAACTCAGATCCTCCTGACTCCAAGGCTGGTGCTCAACCCACTGCACCACCTAGCTGTCTCCATTATCCATCTTAATATATGGTACCTCAAATTTTCATCTTAAGAATTTGAAATTATTGAAGGACTTATAATGAAAAATACTATTTATTTCCAGAGAAAGAACTGGTGGAGTCTGAATGCAGATTGAAGCATACATTTTTTTAAACTTTATTTTTCTTGTGTTTTTTTATTGTTCTGTGTTTTCTTTCAAAACATGACTAATATGGAAATATGTTTTGCGTAACTGCTCATGTATAACCTATATCGAATTGCTTGCCTTCTCAATGACAGTGAAGGAGAAAGAGGGAGAGAATTTGGAACACAAAAAAAAATTTTTTTAAAGGAATGTTAATATTGTTTTTACTTGTAATTGGAAAAAATACTAAACCTATTATAAAAGAATTTGGAATTAAAACTGGATATTGAAGCTCTAAAAAAAATAAATCTGTTAACCTCTCTGGCCTCAGTTTCCTCACTTTTTGTTGTTGTTCAGTTGTTTTTCAGTCATGTCCAACTTTTTGTGACCCCATTTGGGGTTTTCTTGGTAAAGATACTAGAGTGGTTTGCCATTTTCTTCTCTAGCTCATTTTACAGATAAACAAATTGAGGTAAGTAGGGGTAAGTGACTTGCCCAGGGTCACACAGCTGAGTGTATGATGCCAGATTTGAATTCAGGTCTTCTTGATTCGAGGCCCAGTTCTCTATCCATTGAGCTGCCCCGCTGCTAATAAGTCTAACTGTATTCATACCACCTACTTTATAGTATTATTCGGAGAAGAGCATTTGCTGTTTTGTTTTATATCAAAGATATTTAATTGAATTCCATGACTTAACATATTAACATTAAGAAGATTATATTTCTTCTACATATGAAAATAGCTTTTTTGTCAGGTGATTCTTTGAAATAAAGAAAAAATGCTTTGAAATAAAGAATAAGTGTTTCTAAACCTTTTGCCCCAGATGCATAATATTTTGGCTGGCTATAAAAGATATGATCAGAAACTGAAAATAATACCCACTTGATTTAGGGAAAACATCTCAAGGGAAAGCTTTAAGAACAAAAAAAGTTACCCTGTCAAATGACTCCCAGTTACCATGGAAGAAATGAAGCCCTATGCAGAAAAGTGAAATAGAAGAAGTTTGACTTTGACATCTTCCAAACCCTCCTTTTTGCAGCTACCTTCTCCCTTTTGGCCTTATCTGTCCTTCCCTATCCCTAGACATTAACTGTTCTCTCATGTGTTGGGAAGGAACTGAAATTAATAAACTAGTTTATGCTATGGTTTCAGTAACTTAATGTGTTACCTCACTAAGGGGTATTTACACTTTTAAGGAGAACATATGATTAATCCGAAGGAATGACTTTCTAGTGCTAGATCGGCAGCATCAGTGCAGGGAATATCTTTACTTTAGGGACTTTTCTGATGTCTCCCAAATCATACCATAGAGACTCCTGACTAATTTTATTATATTTAGGTTGGTTATTATTTCGATCACTATTTCTTTACATAGTTGTTTATATGTTGTCTCCCCCTTAGACTGTGAGCCCCTTGAAAGCAGGGACTTTTTTGTTTTTCTTTTCTTTGTATGCTTGGTGCTTAGCACAGGGCCTAGGATATAGTGGGCACCTAATGTTTATTCACTGATTATTTGATGATTAATATGGATTATTTGTAATATGTTGGGAAAGCCGGTGAATATCAGAAAAAATACAGTGACCAGATTATTCCACAAATTCCCAATGCTAGAGAAGTAGGACTTCTTTTGGTATCACAAGTAGTTCAGGTTATTATTAGGTATCATTGATGATGATGAGAATGTTAACAAATGCGTAATTTTCAAAGTCATTTAAGACTTGTAGAATTTTGGGGCAGGGACAACACGGTAGAGTAAAAGCAGTGACTTGCTTGAGTTCTCCCTGAAGTCCTCCAAACACCTGTAAAAAATGACTCTAAACAAGTTCTAGAGCAGCAGAACCCACAAAAAGACAGAGTGAAACAAATTTCCAGTCCAAGACAATCTGGATGGTTGATAGGAAAGGTCTGTTGTGCTAGATTAGGAGAGAAGTGTGGTTCAGTGTGGGATACACAGGCAAAGATGGGCCACAGCAAACCCAGAGCAGTCCTCAAGAGACTGAATTACGGGCAGCTATGGTGGTTTCCAGACTTCTCAACCCATAAACACCAAAGATAACTTAGAAGTTCAATGGGAAAGGTTTGTTGGACCTGGGTGAGAGAGGAGCATGATCCAGCCTGGCCCTAGAGCAGCCCCAGGGTGGCAGCCATAATGGCTGCTTCCAGAGCTCTCTATTGAGGGGCTGACCAGAGGGGAATTACAGGGATCTCTTTGCTGGTGCTAAGGCAGGATTATCTTGCTTTGCCTGTGCTTGGATCTGAATCACAGTGCTGGGTGGAGGCCTTGAGGCAAGGAGTAGTGCTGGCTGGCATGGCAGAGCTTGTGGTGACAGTGAAGAGGGCATCCTCCTCACAGTTCCAAGGAAGAAAAGAGTGCCTGTGGTCACTCATAGACCAGAGCATCAGCCAGGAAAGGAGTAAACGCCTTGCCTTTGATCATACCACCTTGGAAAAACTGAAAATTTACAGGTCCCTAGAAGTATCTCTGAAAACAGCTGCACAAAACCCCTGAAGCTTGGGACAGTACACCTTCCACACTGGAAGTAGAGCCCTACCTTAACAAAGAGTTTAAAAAGTCAAGTAATTGGTTGGGAATGTGAGCAAACAACAGAAAAAACTTAGCCTATAGAATCTTACTCTGGTAACAAAGATCAAAACATAAAACCAGAAGTAAACAACAAAGTCAAAGATCCTACGTCCAAAGCCTCCAAAAAAAAAATAGAAATTGGTCTCAGGCCATGTAAGAGCTCAAAAAGGATTTTGAGAAGTGAGTAAGAGAAGTAGAGGCAAAACTGGGAAGAGAAATGAGAATGATGCAAGAAAATCACAAAAAATGAGTCAACAGCTTGCTAAAGTAGACCCCAAAAAATACTGAAGGAAATAACACCTTAAAAAATAAACGAACCCAAATGGAAAAAGAGGTCCAAAAATCCAATGAGGAGAAGAAGGACTTAAAAAGCAGAATTGGCCAAATGGAAAAGGAGGTCCAAAGGCTCACTGAAGAAAATAATCCCTTAAAAATTAGAATGGAGCAAATGGAAGCTATTGACTCTATGAGAAATCAAGAAACAATAAAACAAAACCAAAAGAATGAAAAAAAAA